GGGTCGGCTTAGTTGTGGTCAAGTCAACGTCCCGCTTGGCCCCTCCCACGTCAGCCGGTGGACTGATCGGTCGTTGCTGTTCAGGTGAGCAGCATTCAGTTTCGCGGGCGCATCGGTGAGACAGTGTTCGGCTTTGGTCACATGACCTCTGGCCCCCAATTCCGCTCTTTTCCGTGAGCGTTGACTCTCGGTCCCGCGTGCTCGCTTGCCTTACTGGTCCTGTCCGGACTGATCCGAGCCTTGTACGCAGTGCTTGGTAGGCGGGATGTAGATCTATAGCTCGGTTGAGTGTACCAGTCGAGGAACAACTTTCGAGCACCAGTCTGGCCATCTTTTCATTGGCTCGACCGATTACCCTCCCTTTCTCAAAGGCAAAATTGTGGTTCAGTTCTCGTATGTGGCCATAGACCAAAGACAGCTTGTCCTTGCGGTTGATTGCAAGTTGGTGTTCGTGCAATCTTGTGCCGAGGCGTTTGTCCGTTTCACCAACATACCTTGCATTGCAATTTAGGCATGGTATGGTGTAGACCACCGCCAACTGTTCCGTTGTTGGTAGCGGGTCCTTAGGCTTCATGATTTGCTGTCTGATGGTGCATTCTGGTTTATGAGCCACGCCAATCCCAAAAGGTTTTAGGATTCTTGCCGTTGCCTCTGATACGTTCTTCGCATAGGGTATTGAGAGCCAGAACTTGGGCTTTTCTCCACTCGACCGCTCAAAATGAGGCTTTTTGAGGCAATTGCGTATGAAGGACTTCGGGTAGCCGTTGGCTTTAAAAAGGCCCTGTAAGTAATTCATCTCCACCTTCCTCCCACTGTCGTCGCTACAGTGTGTTTGAACACGTTGAAAGAGAGTTCTGACACCACTGCGTTTATGACCAACAGGGTGGTTGCTTCGGATGTGGAGGATGCGCCTAGTATTTGTTGCCATACGGTAAACGGTTGTCCTTATCTTCCCGTCTGTCAATCTCGTAACTTGTACGTCCAGGAAGGGCAACTGATTGCTTACTTCCTCTTCCATAGTAAACTGAATGTCGGGGAAGATTGAGTTCAACAATGTCTTGAAAGCCTTCACCTCGCTCCTCTTGATTACAACGAACGTGTCATCGACGTATCTGGCCCAGAACTTCGGGGATACGAGCTGAAGACCTGCTGCTCGAGTATCTGCAAAACTGCTTCGGCAATTAGTCCAGACAGAGGCGAGCCCATCGGTGTCCCCTTCTTTTGCTCGTAGACTTGGCCGTTGAATGTAAAGAAGGTCTTAAGACACAGTTCTAGGAGCTCGATGATGTGTGCTCGTTTGAGCTGTTGGTCGGTCTCATCATACTTTTCCCGGAGAAAGTATATATAGACCGCCTGTGAACACTGACCTTTGCCAACGGACAATGGCAGACTTCAAGAAGAAAATGATCAGAGTACTGATACGAGACTGCCACGCTCGCATCCACAAGTACCGCCAGATGATTGAACATCATCCGTCAACTTGCCAGTCGATCTTTACCGCACACGAGCTGGAGATCCTCAAAGCGGCAATTCTCGACAGCGCTCGGCGTCACCGCCAGTTGCTTGATGGCCAGTTGTCTAGAAAATTTGAGAAAATAAGTCCGCCAAAGCAGACCTCTGCTGACGGTGCCTTGGTTCACAACTTGTCCTCTCCTCGTTTCACTCAGCAACAACTAGCGGTTCTATCCTATGACGCGAAGTTCAGCACAAGAGATGCTCAACCAGAAGACTTTATTGCATCCTTTGAATCGGCGCTCCAGAAGTGTGAGGCAGACGAGGAGTGCAAAAACGGCATGCGACAACAAGTGTCGACCTTACTCCTCCAACACAAACGCCAGATGACGATTTCTAAAGCAGAAGATCGAGAACTTCTGAAGATACGAAAAATGAAAGATATCGTCACCCTGCCCGCCGACAAGGGGCGCTCGACTGTCGTCATGGATAAGGCTGAGTACTGCACAAAACTAGGCAACCTCTTGATGGACAAGGAAGCTTATGCGCCATCGACCGTCAGCGAGTTTAAGAAGCTCGTAAACAGCATAAACAATACGATCGGCAAGCTGAGGAAGGCGGGAGCTCTTATGAGAAGGGAAGCGTTCGAGGCTCGGGTGTTCCACACTTGGGGCTTGGGTATGGCTGGCTGACGACGGATTATAAGCCAGAAATGGCCATTCCGGTCTCCCTTGTCTTTGTCGGTAATACCATTCTGCCTATATATCATGCGCCGCTGTGCGGCTGCTGGTTGGGCTCGAAAGAGAGCCCTTAAGACACAACGGAACGAGTGAGTTCCGTATG